TTGCAGAGATTCTCAACATACAACATACTGCAAAAGATCACTTCAGAACTACCATTCAGTTTTATTACAGCTGAGAACGTGTTATAAAAATTAAAGAAATTTTAGAACACATTTGTTTATGGAACATGAGCTGAGCCTTTCTTTTCCGATTGAGCTATATACTTATTTGATTGAAAATAAAACTTATTTGATTATTATTAGGAGACTTGGAGAAGGCGTAACGAGTCATTAATTAAGTATAACAAACGTTTTTGTGCTTTTTTAACGGTTTTAAAATCAAACCAAATGATTTTAGGAATATTTACTAAAAAGTGATCAATAGATGATCAATAGATTTTTTTTATTTTTTTCCTACTATCTCAATGCGCTTCGCATGATCAACATAAGCAATGAAATTGTAGGTACTTGTACTCTTATCTTTACTCTTATTGCCAACTTACCTGTGATCACTTACCATAAAGTGAGCAGTCTGCTTTTATAATATATATATATATATATATACACCTAGTCAGGTCATAAATTCTGTCACATGTTTAATATAAAATAAATGAAACAAGTTTATTGATTATGTAACCATTTATATACCAAAATGAACTTAACAAAACATAGATTCTTATGACAATTAAGTTTATTCAAAATGACCTCCGTGATTTTGAATACAGACCTTCAATCTGCGCGGCCGTCTACGCAGCACGAACGAGGTCCATGTCAATATCGGCGGCTGCCTTAATCAAGGATAAATTGAGTGACACCAAACTGGGATGAGGCTTTGAGCACGCCTTTTCCTCCAAGTGTTGCCATATCTTGTAATCTAATGGTCTCAAATCTGGACTGGAGGAGGGCCAGTCTTCGTGCTGGATGAAGTCGATTTCACGCGCCGCTAGCCAGTCTTGTGTGCTCTTCGCTCTGTTACCTGGCGCCGAATCTTGTTGGAATACCCAGTGCCTGTTATTGAACATGGTATGAGAAACAGGTTCCACAAGGTTCGTCCGCTATTTTGATACACAACTGCATTCGTTTTTACACCTTTCTCACAAAGATGTACCTCTGTTAAGCCCCAATAAGAAACTCCCAACCATACCAAGAGCGAGGATGAAAAATGACCTCGTTGGACACGCGGAATACGGTTGCTCGCTTCTTCACTACTGTGTGCGTACACCTTATCATTTTGTTTGTTGTAGCTCTCTTCTACGGTAAAAAATTTTTCATCCGAAAAAAGAATTTGCCGATATTTTTTCCCGCTTGCCGCTTCAACAAAGCGCGGCATCTCTTCAGTCTCAGGTAAATTAGACGAGCATTCAAACGATGTCCTGTTTTTCTTCGATATGCCCGAAGCCCTAAAGACTTAGGGCTTCGGGCAAAGGGTGTTAAATGAAGACTCATTTAAGACCCTTTTCACCGTGGTTCTGCTCAACCCCATCTAAAGGGCCAACAGTTTCTTTGAATTTGCGCCTCCACATCTTTTATCACTGCTGGAGTCCTAACAGACCAAGGGCGACCACTTTTTGATCTGTCATCTACACTAGAGTCTTCATTGTATCGTTTGCTGGTACGATCAACGAATCTTTTGGTTATATTCAAATTTTTCAGTATGTCAAAAATTTGAATACTGTCTTCTTTAAGCGTCTACTCCATATTTAAAAATGAGTAAAATTCTAAAAAGTATTCATTTTTATTTTCATGAACAATTCGAAATCCGAATTCAATAAACTTTTTTGTGGCGAGCATTCTTAAAGAAAAGTTTTTACTGTGTGAATTGTCACGCTTATGACCTGACTGTGTATATACATAGGTAAATAAATAAATCAGTGCATCTATACCGTTGAAACTTGTTTTATTTTATGAGTGATGAACGTGAAAACCTAAGAAACAAATATATATATATATAAATATAAAACAAAGGTAATTAACGAGATTTGTAGGCGATCGTAGAAGTTAAGAAAGCCAAAAATCTCGAGGTAATTCGGGCTTCACAAAACCATCAATCCGCCCTAAACTAACGTACTGAGTCATCGCGGAATAATAGAAAAAATGGCTATTATCCCGTAATAAAATCTCATTACACTAATAATCAACATAAGTAACTAGAACTAGAGAAGAACGGAAAAAGGTTTGCTGCACCTTTCTTGAGGCTGACATTTCAAAACAAATTAGAGGCTATCTGAACCCATAATCTACTTTGTTGGTTAACTGTCCTTCACTTGGTATTTTGTAAACTACAGCCCTATTAGGTATTTTATACCAAAGAAAATGCTATAATATTTTTTTTGTACCTACTGTTTGGCCTGTTGGTTTTTTTTACATTTTTGAATACCTATTGAAGTTCTGAAAGGATTTGGATGAAAATTTTACACAGACAACTTACTTTTTATCCCAGAAAAGTGTAATGTTCCTGAGGGTTTATCAAAAAACCAAAGTTAACGCGGACGAAGTCGCTGACGGGCGCCAGTATTTTAAATGCAAGTCTGCTACCTCTTCCCGCTGAAGCGATTTAGATGATATTTGGTAAATAGTTAGTTTAGTTAGATTTGGTAAAGGATATAGGTTGCTTTTTTCCCAGAAGGGGGTCGAAGGTTGTATGGGAAATCAATTTTCCCACGCAGACAAACTCGCGGGCACCCGCTGGTGATTATATGTAATACTACTTATACAAACATCAAAAGATTCATTGTTAGAGTATCTAGGTACCTATATCATAAAAATTGACTTAAGCATGACTACGACCACTTTGTCAACAGTGCACGACTAGGAAGAATATTTACACTTCGATACTTCGAAGTTGGGCACCTTACCTTTTTACTTTAACCTTACCTTACCAATTTATTTTCACATCACCCTTTGACTGATTTGTTTTTCAAATCAAATCATCTATAATGCGATTACAGGTTACAAAGTTGTTATTCAGATACATTTTAGTACAGTACAGCCATAATCATCCTTATCGGCATGCAGTATACTATTTGTATAAATCATTCATTGTTTAAATGTCAAATTAATAAATTTTACATACCTAGTTTATTTAAAATGTCAATGTACGATTAATTTAAGATTGTATTTATTTCATGCATGTAAATTTTTCTATAGTCTGTTAGAGAATGTATTATGCTTAGATTGAACCAAAAAGGAACTCGCAATATAATTGCACTCGCGGCTTACAAGTGGTGCACTTGCTTGCTTAAATTGTGATGCATGAACACAATTCGCTTTATTCACAATTTGACATCCAAATACCCGTACACTGTATGTGCGCAACAATATAGCGTACATTATGTGTTATAAAGACAAAACAATGCCTTCGATGCTTTAAAAAAGGACACAAATAGTTCAAGATCAAGTAACAAATTTGTTATCAATGAAACGTGTTGCCGTAGTATTTTCATTCGTTAAACTATAAAAAAAAATTAAAAATCTGGGTTTGCCATGAATGTTATTTACTTATTCGCCATTTGGTATCATGAAAAGTTCAACAATACAGCTTAATCGTTTGTAGAGAGAAAGAAAAACGCAGTCGGCTGCCAAGCAACGCGGACTCGCCGTTTCGCTCTTGCTGCATGCTTGAAGCGTACAGTTCTGTCTCGCTCGCGCGATAGAATATGTATTTACAGAAGTATGCGTGTGTGAAAGTTGCTTATGTAGTTGAGTCAAAGCATAATTTTATTTGACACTAGTATGAGCGTACCGTATCTTCCTTTTTGTTTTAATCTAAGGTATTATGGCACCGCAAAATTGAAAATAAGTATTGTTGGATTGATGCCTTCCTTGCCAGGGCGAGCTGCAACGAGGATAGTTGAGACTCCTCCCCATTCATTTCACCCATTTCTGCGGCTCGATGAATTGAGCAGAGCCCTACCCATTAACAATAAACCAGAATACTCCTGCTCTGCACCGATCACCCTAATCACACTCTTAGGACCGGGGTCCCTGAAGTAAGTGCCGAGAGTGCAGACAGGGTGCCACCCCTGCAAGCTCCTCGCAACGTGCCTGAAAGGTGATTGTCCGTAAAGTCCGGTCAAGGTGAAACTTCCTTGATAATTTTTTATTCTGTACTCGTAAATTTTTTTTATCCCCACAAACATTTTAAGCTAAGAAAAATCTTTTAAAAGTGGCAGGCTATGTACATTGATACCCTCTGAAAAGCTATATTAAAAAGTTTTTTGAGAATCATTGAATCTAAGGATTTTGATGAAGTAATTTAAATTCATTTCAGCTACATTTTTTCCTTATCTTTTAGCCTTATATCTTCTTTAAGTGAAGATAAACTATTGTGCGTCTACCTTTTTACATTTTTTACCGAGTAGAAGGGTGATAATAAAAAAATAACTTCATATCATTTACACAATATAATTATTATTTAAAAAAAACTTGTCATCGCCATTATACGAAATGAATCTTGGTCCGACCGAAGTCGAGAGTATAACAACTTCAGTTAATATGGCATAAGAAAAAAAAATGCATTTTCATTCAATTGGTTCAACAATATACAACTGTTAAAATTTAATTTCTACATTGTATTTTATTTGAGATCATACTATTTTCAATAATTTAAATTTCTTGGAGGTTATATTTCTGGATATTTTAATTAGTTTGATAAAATTAACTTCTCATTTGTATATTGCTGAAACAATGCCAGTTAATAATATACAATAAACAACTTTACAATAGAAATTATCAATCACATCAAATTTACCACTAAAAATTGACAGATAAACAAATTGTTGATACTAACATTTTGTGCCATAAAACGAGTGTGATTACACCGTACCATTATGTACCACTTAAAGTATATTATATCGTAATTGTTAACTATTTACAATAAATGCAACTTTAAATACCTAAAACCTGTGCTTCATAACGATCTATATAAATATGTTTTTTTTCGTCTTAATTTAAATCTAATTTAAGTTTTTAATCGGAAAGAGGAAAACGGGACGGTGGATGTACAGTACTATCTAGTTGTAAAAATATAATTTTAAGCAATATCAAATGATGGTAAAACTGCATGCAAATCTATTTAGGAATAAGAAAATTTTTTGGGAGGAGAAGATTAGGATATACGATGAGACCCAAAATAAAATAACATAATTTTATTTCGTATAAGTTATCTGTACATGCAACTCAACAGTTGCATGTACAGATATGGTCATAGCACTTTGCCTTGGGGTACACCAATAAGTATAATTATTTAAAAGTTGCATGACATTGTATCCAGTTTCTGTATGATATTATAGAAACATAATATTTATTTCCTTGCTATAAAATGTAAGTAAGTGTGTGGAAAAAATATTGGGATAGTAGGGATATTATATTATATTAAAAGATTATTATTGTTCCCTGTTTCTGAAAGGTTTACCAAATCATTATTCAACTAACATGCTTGTCAATTTAGTGCAGCGGTAACTTATGGCTTAAATTCTAGACACCCAAAATTGCGCTTGTCATAACAATTTTTGAATTATTTTTTACCAACTCCGTCAACTGGCCCAGTGATTAATTGATAAAATGCTTTCCGCAACTCGATTAAGAATAAACATTAGATTTTACGGATTGTGGGTTTGTTCAATCGTTAAACCAGCCTTTCAGAAACCGGGTAAAACTGTCAACATATAATCGAAAACCCAACACAAAATCAAGTGATGAGCAACGGATTTCATCACTGCGAAAACAATCGTAACAAAATTAGAATATCTATGTCTTTCATACCAAATCTACAAGCTCATGTTGTTATGCACTCTACAATAATATACACGGTTCTGACATCCTAACTTCAAGCCATTCTCAACGAGTCTCATGATTATGATTTCATTTTCTAATTTGCTACTCGCCGTATCCCATCTACCAATAAAAATAGTGTATACCTAATAATATAGGAGAGATTATTGAAATCGTAAAAGTACTGAAGTCTTTAGTTGAACGATATGCATCATTTCCGTGATGGCAGCCCCAATTTGTATTACCGTCTTATTCATTGGAAAATATCAAATTCCAAATGATGATAAAAGGATATATCCTCGTTTAGATTTCCGGATTTCTTTAACATAAATCGCATGTCCTACTTATTTTATACAGTAAAATTTTAATGGTATTGATTCGACCAATATTTAGAAATGCAACTACAAATTTTGTATACAGTTACAAAAAGTGATTCGTCAAACTCGTCCCAACTCTTTGATATTAGTTCAGATGAACCCCTATAACCGACTAAAGATAAACCTTATTTAAACTATTAAAGGCAATGCAGAGAGAAAATTTTACTCGCGTAAAAACGTCGTAATAGCAATGTACACTTTGATATTCATAACAGCGAACGTAAAAATCAACAATGAAAAAACCTAAAGAACTTTAAAACAACATTTAAACAAATGCAATTCCAGATTTAACGAGACGTCACGTTATGTATCGATAACATTAAAAACCGCACGTCTGATCGCACAAGTGGTTCTATAACATTACAGTAATTAATTAATATTTACAAATACTAAACACTTGCGAATCAGTCAGTTAACCTTACAATATTATCGTCTTAATTAAGCATCGTTACATCAGCAGGGTCGGGTGTGGGTCTGCGAGGTTGCGTTTGAAGCATCTACGGGGCTGGTTGATATGTCCTTAGACGTACCACTCCTTGATGCCGTCCCGTTTGACGGGCTGCGTGGGCACGGGTAGCGGCGCTGCGCCGTTTCTGTTTAACGGTAGCGGTTGGAGATTCCGAACTGCTCCACCCGTTGGTGCGCTCGACGCACCGCTTTGGTAACTTGAGTGGGCCTATTCATACACAGAACAAGTTTTACATACGCAGTCTGACATAATCTTGGAATAACATCAACATAGGGAGTTCACTGCCATCAAAATCAAAATAGTTTCCCTTCTGCTCGAACTCAATTAATAGTATAGGGCACTATGGGTAAACCATCCTTTACCCGCAGGCTAGGACTCAGTTAAGCGGTCTACCTATAGATTATTGCATCGAGCGTTAAGTGAGTGAGTTGCACGAGTGTTACATATGTTGGTCTGCACTGTTTTAGCTCTAAGCAAAAAATACGTCCTTTGTGATCGGTTTTGTAGTGACAAATAATAACATTACTACGTAGTTGAAAGAAAAATACTTCATCCGTTCTCACTACACGTACCAAAAAGTATAACACAGGCATAGTAGGCAAAGCTCCCGGGAGAGCGCTGTGCGGGAGACCCGTCTCACACAGCGCAGCTCTTTGAAATAACATGAAACAAACACGAGGAGCAGACGCCCGCTCCGTGCTCCTGATTAACACAGCGCAGGCTCTTAATTATTTTCAATCTAGTTTTGAAATCCAGATTTCTACGATCAATACGATCGATCGTGTATTTAGCAATTCTTCCAATATTTTATATTACAAGCCCACGATTTTGCACCAAAACTAAGAAAAGTTAAATTTAGTTTATCTCTGCCTTTATAACCACCCAAAATATCAATTTATAAACAACCTGATCCTTTTTCACAAGCAATGTTACTTCGTTACCTGATTGCCGAGTAGGGCTGCGCTGGCGCCTTGCTGGTAACTCTTGTCCTCCGTCACCTTATACGAGGGGTCGAGTTTGAACACAATGTACTTGAGCACGATGATCACTATGAGTATTATTGCTATCAGCACTGATGCCACTATACCTGAAAAGTGTAAAAGAACACGTTATGTTACTATCTCAAGTAAGAATTAATTATTATCCATAATATGCTTAAAATTTTAAGCAAATTCGTCAATGAATTTAAAATGAAAACACTGACTTAAAAAACAATAACGTCATCTTAATTTGAATCTTTCGCTAGTTAAAAATGTAGCCTGCGTGCGCAGTTGTATTTTGTAGATTAACCGCTCACCAGCGGTAATCGCTACGCGCCACGAAATAGAAATTAGATACATAATAATTATGCTACACCTGCTACCCTAATACATTTTCTAGATCTTTCAATCATCTTATGTATATCTTCATAAAAAAATATTTTGTCTATGTCCGAAAAATAAACTGAAACACATATCTTCTTCGGAAGATATTCATTTTGATAAAAATAAGTCACTTGGCAAAATTTAAGGTTGCAGTCGACCAAAATTTAAGTAGAAATCGACGCAAGGCGAGCGGGTCAAACCAACACTCCTGGTTCTCAATGTTATAATAACACTACGTTGATATGACGAGTGATTTTTCGGTGTCAACAGTTTGCATTGTAAACGTTTTGGGCTGAACTTGCAATCTATTCACGTTCACACAGTCAGTCTATTTTAGTGAACAGTGCAGTGCGGTGATGATTATTCTTATTACATTGACGGTGTTTATGTGATGGAGCAATCGTTTACTAGTTAGCTAGATAACACCAATTAAATTAGGTAATCGACAACCAACCCAAATAATATCGTGATCATTATAAGGTTTTATCAATGTCTCTGCGAGGGAAATTATCGTTTTTCGAGTGCCACTGCCACAGGCAAAGCGCACTAGCAAACAGCTCGGAATCGATTATTTTTATTATTACGATTATTATAATCGTATCGACATGAAAACTCTAACCCCCTTATTAATTAAAAAGAAATAAACTTAGACTAGTTACGTCGTGTTTTGTTCATGTCACTCATAAGCCATTTGTCATTCAATAGACAGAGACAAAGCATGGAGTAACTAAACCAGGCGTAGTCTTCGTTTATCAATAAGGAGGTAGAGGTTTTATTAATGCCTTGCGAGGGAAAATATCGTTTTTCGAGTGCCACTACAACGTGCAAAGCGCACGAGCAAACAGCTCGGAAAACGATTATTTTCTTTAGCTTTGGCAGGAATTATACCTCAATTTTGTAATCCTGTCGAGACGGAAACACTACAGGCTTTATCGACGCCTTTTAGAGGGTAGTTTTGACACCACCGCCACAGGTGATTGGCACGAGCAAACAGCTCGGAAGCAATATATTTCCTTAGATTTGGCAGTTAGTTATATTTATCTCTGAAGTTCTTAATTGAATGGCAATAGAAACTTGCTTTTCAGGTGCCACCTGCACGAGCAATAAGCCTGAAACGATACTTTCATAGCGTTGCTATATTATTAGTTATAGGTGTCATTAGTAAAATTAGATCACTGATATAAGCAAAAAGCCTAGAAAATGAGTAGCTCCTTAACTTCTGCCGTTAAGTGTGTTTGTATGACCCAAATGTTGGTTTCCGTGTAGTGCAGTGAGCAGCCTAATTAATCGATTCGTTTAATAAATTGCGAAATCCTTCAAACACAAATTCAAAAAGCGTTCTTAGGCATTTCAAAACACCGCGACAGGATCGAACGGACGTGGGAGCCTGGAGTAAAATGGGCATTTTCAAAACACCACAACAGGATCGAACGAACGTGAGAGCCTGGAGTAAAATGTGTTTTGAAATGCCCATTAATCACCTACTAGTCTCAATTGATACGTACCTACAATAGTAGCGAAGAACTCTGATTCGGGCGGCACTACCCTATTATCAGTTGTCTTCGGCTGATACCACTTGGTAGTGATATCGTAGCCGTTGTAATCCTGGTGACCGCGACCAGGTAGTCTGTTTTGCTCCCCCATTCCTATTTCATAGGTGGGCACTCTAGCTTCTATCTCGTTGTCTCGCCGGTCCTCGTAGTCTGGTATGTGGTTGTCTTCTGTGGTATGAGTAGTTTCACTGGGAGTATGGCGACCTGTTGCCGGTGGAGTAAAATGTCCGCTTGTGTGCGTGTGTTCTGGAAGAATATAAATATTGTTTTCATAAGATAGAAAATATGTTTATAAAGATAGCGCCACAATCTTGTCTCCTAATCAAAACTTATAGCATTCAAGTTCTGGTAGAATAATTAAATTTAGGCATTTGTTTGCAAAATATAGAGTTAATTGTACCCATCTCACGATTGTTAATCTTTATCGTATAAGTATGATATCCACATCAGATTTGATTAAAGGGCAACGTCTGAAATTATAGGCAGTCATAGTCTTGAATGCTTGCTATACCAAGGTAACACTAGCGCATTACCTGCTTTGACCCCATTCTTTACCCAGTGGAGTATTGGAAACCATATTATTTGTTGACCTTTCATGTCATAATATTATAACTATTCTACCAGCATCTGATTTTAATAATACTAAAGCGTATTATCAGCTCTGTGTTATCCTTACTAAGGCTGCCCTTCCACATGTCTTCGTTTTTCCACCTTTATCATAAAATAAACGTGTGTGCTTATGACCACACGACTGAAGTGCAACTTCTTTAGCTCCACATGTATGTATATGTACATATTTCATTTACTAGCTATAAGAGAAAGAGAGAAAGAAAATGTGCGCGCGCACTACTTAGTCTTGCTTATATCCCACATTCAACTCCCGTTCGCCTCGCCCGAACACACTTTTCGTAATTTACCCCCCCAAGCCAAGCGTACGTAAAGAAATTTCACTTCAAAAACGCTTCACTAAAGGCTGGTTTACACTGAAAAGTACAGTAGCAAGGTATCTTGCGGTCTTGGCGAGTTAAGTTCTTATCATTGTTTGGACAGAGATTTGCCAGTTAAGAACATACTGCTTAACTGACTGATTTCTGAACTCGCTACTGTACTTACTGAGGTGTAAATCAGCCAATCATCCCCGTAAACAAAGTACACTCCTCACCGTCAGTTGGGGTAGTCCTTCTTTCCGGTGTTGAAGCAGTGTCAACTGTTCCAGCTTGTATATTATCATGGTCTGGTAACGTTGTATGTACAGTGTCGGCTTTAGTGGTACTGCCAGTATCCGTAGAACCATCCGTGGAACCTTCTAGAGATTTGTCAACGTGCTCTGTGGAGGATATACTGGCGGTGGGCGTTGTCATACTATGGGTACTGCTTGCTCCGGACCTGAAAAATTGGAGTTTAAATAATAATGATATTCTAAAGGAATTTCGAAGAAACGTCACATCAAGGTGCTACTGACACTGAGAGTAGATATTGTAAGTACATATTATTTTCAGTTAGTTGATTATTTTTAGAGACAAATTAAATGCTTAAGAGGATTTTTTATTTTCATCGACAGATTTTATCTTTTTCACGTAGATATCTGTTTTTCAAATATTTTTTGTGATCATTTTAAGCTCGTCAAAGACTTAATTTCACCAAACTTTGATCTTAATTATCTACTATACTGGGTAATGTAGGTAGGTAATATACTTGCAAAATTATATGGTTAAACCTAACAACTTACGTAGTAGCTGGATGTTCTGGCTCAGTGACCTCTTCGCCGTTGGAACCAGAACCCTCAATGCAATCTTCATCGTCACAAGGCTTCATCAATTTTCCACTGGTATCACCCTGCATACATAATAGTGAAGTAAAGGACATTGTTCAGCGTCCATACATAGTTAGCCTAAGAACCAACAATCATGAAATATTATTTTCTAGGTTCAAAATCGTAAGTAAATGACTGTAAAAACAAAGATTATTGACGGACACTTCTGAGAACTTAAATTATTAGGAAAAATAATTTTTTTTTTGAGGTTATGTTTAATATTCAATGAAACATAGGTCAACCTATGAATTTAGTATGAACTCAGTATGAAGTGAATTAATATTACAACTAATTTATTTTATTCGGTGCGATTTTAAAGAATAACTATTAGGAAAAACTTGGTTAGGTAGGAATCATGAATAAAATAAAAACTGTAGTTTAGCTTCTTATTTATTGACTATTTTTCACATAATTGTATCATATTGTTTATTGTATTTATTTGTATATCACATGTATATTGTGTAAATATGCAGCGTGAATGTGTATCAAGTGTTCTTGAATAATTTGGCAGTATGATCCTCTCAGGATGTTGTGGCACTGGTTCACTAGCACTTGGTAATAAGGACTCTGCTCTTTGGTAACATCGATGGCATATTAGATAGCCGAAATAGTTAAATTAAAGGCAAAACAATGCAAATAAACACACACAACAGGTAATCCGAAACGAGAATGCACTTTCCGGTATATTAAACTACTCTTTGGAATGCACGAATGCCACAGTCACAGATTACTACGAATGCAAACTGCGTGCACCACAACCACAGAGTAACAAGTTTTATGCCGGTGTACTTGACAACAGTTTGTCCTTGTCATGCTTAATAAGGAATGAAAAGGACAGACTGATGTCATGTTTTAAAATAGCAAATACGAATAGCCAAGTGAAGTGCCGGCATTAGGAAGAAAGAGTGTTTTGTTTGCAGCGCTGTCATAGATTATACACATAAAATGGTATTTATTGTCTCAGATTATTTTTTAACTTTTTATTTAGCTTATTTAACTGGAAGTGTCCGTCACAATCTAAATACTGATAATTGTCGCAAAAAATATACTAAGAATTATCATAAATGCCAAATTGGTGTTGGTTCTTAGGCCAATTTTAACATTGTCCTTTATTATCTTATGGGAATTTCATAGTAATTATTATGGAGAATAAATCATGCACAATATATCTAATTTCATCTTTTTTAATAATAATAATTCAAGATCTTTTGTCGTAGACCGAAAACGTAGTGACATTCATAACAGTTTAAACTGTAGAAAATATAAATATTTATTAACCAGCTATATAACCATGGTAACTAAAGAATCATAACATTGCCGTAATGGCTCGAATCTGGGCCGTCTCTTTGAGGGTATGTAAACTGGAGTGATGAGGTCTTCTCCAGAGCCTGCGTCGGGGAAAACGCAAGCATCTTCATCATCATCCCTTAAATAAGATTCAACCCCGGAATACACCGGTTCGCTCAAAAAACCTGAACATCCATGTCCTGGCCTGAACTGAGTATCTGGATTGTTGTACTCAATACTTCAACATACCTTAACCTTATACACCCTTGAAGGCGGTCGTCTCGTCGAGGGTACGTAAACGGGAGTGATTAGGTCGTCTCCAGAGCCAGCGTCGGGGAGTACGCAGGCATCTTCATCATCATCCCTACAGCCGGAGCCGGCGCCGGAGTATACCAGCTCATCCAAAACCCCGGGACCTCCGTACCCTGAGGGTGGTGTCTGGAAATTCATAGGCAAAACAAATTAAGTTTATTTTTTTTAGAAAAACCAATATTTAAGATGTAAGTAAAAATCTGAAATTCTGGTGTGTTTAGTTTACTCTTTATAGAGCAATGTTTTCTTAACGCAAGCAAATCCTCTATCTACTGCCTTGAGGGCAGTGAACGTACCCCACACCTAGTATCTCGCAAGTCTCACTGGCGCGATAACGAAGAGCCCGGTAAAGTGTCTCACAGACAGAGCCCGCCTTCGGCCGGGGCTAGCACTTATTGGTCGATCCTGTTTGAGGGAATATAATTCGCTTGCAATGTAAGCGAGTGTTCAGTTACTAACCGCTACTCGGGTCGGGGTCGCAAGCCGCATCTGTCTGTGAGACACTTAAAGCAACCCACGCGGCTTACGAGCGCGTCTGGCATACACTACGCTAAAAACCCTGCGATTACCCTATTCAGCTGTTAAGTGCGGAACAATGGGATCCCCGTTGATGGAATTCACCATGACTCACACTTTCATACACAGGTATGAAAGTACCTATATTTTTATATAAAAAAAACTGATAAATTTTACATACTGATGAATCGCATGCAACAGCTAGTTCCAGCACCCTGACCCCGTCTGCCATCAGACCGGCTTTAACCCCACTAAACGTTCTAGCACCAACTACCACCGTTGCAGTCGACATACTGTTACATATTTTTTGCATCCTATTGATAACTGCCATTAGACCAGCGTGACGTTTTAGCATCACCGGTACCGTGTCCAACAATTATCGTGGACAAACTCTTACATTTCTGGACGCCCAACTCAGAGATGAGTTGATGATATCAAAAGACATGTAGATCAAAACTGGATGCTTAAGTCACAAAACGGAAAAACAAGACCGAAGTAAAACCGAATGGCTGAATATGACGGTGATGATGACTAATACATACCTGTTGCATCTTCGCTCGCAACAGCCAGTTCTAGCTCCCTCAACCCATCTCTTACCAGGCCAGCTGTAATCCCACTAAACTTTTGCGGCGCCGCACCTTATAGTTATATCTTAAACATACTGTTATATACCTTTTACAGCCTATTTATGTCTCTTTCGCGCGGTGTATGAACTATTTTAGCGTCACCGCGTATTGATATGGAAGTATCAACCGCAGTAGCCAGTTCCAGTACCCTGACTCCCTCTACCACCAGATTGGTTATAAAACTACTAAAAGTTCTAACACTACCATAATAGAGGAAACAGTGCTACATTACCTGTTGCATTCTATTGATTTGTCTGTCGAGCAGTGTATGAGCTCTTTTAGCGGCACCGCGCACTGACACGGAAGGTTCGCCTGCTGCAGCCATTTAGAGCACCCTGACTCCGTCTACCACCAGACCAGCTATGACCCTACCAAATGTTCTAGCAGCGACTCCCACAGTTATAATCTACATATTGTTACTTACCTGTTGCATCTTATTAATATCCCTATCGTGCGATATATGAGCTCTACTTACATCCCCCGCAGCAGCCTGTTCTAGCACCTTGACACCGTTTACCACCAAACCAGCTATGACCCCACAAAATGTTCCACCACCATCAGCACCGCCCGCTACAGTTATAGTCGACATACCATTAATTACCATACATCATCCTATTGATGTCTCTATCTAGTGGTGTATGAGCTCTTCTTGCGTCACCGCGTACTGATACTGAAGGATCGCCCGCAGCAGTTAGTTCCAGCACCCCGAATGTTCTAGCACTATTGGCAGCGCTCCTATTGATATAGTCAACGTATTGTTACGTACCTGTTGCATTCTATTAATGTCTCTATCGAGCGCTGTACGAGCTCTAATTACATCACCCGCAATAGCCAGTCACAGCACTCTGACCACGTCTACCATCAGACCAGCTATGACCACACTTAATATTCTAACACTAGCGGCAGCGACCCACTGTTAAAGTCGACATACTTTTACATACCTGTTGCATCCTATTGATATCTCTGTCGAGCGGTGTATGAGCTCTTCTTGCGTCACCGCGCACTGATACAGAAGGATCGCCTGCAGCAGCCAGTTCCAGCACTCTGACCCCGTCTACCACCAGACCAGCTATGACCCCACTAAATGTTCTAGCACCACCGGCACCTCCCCCTACAGTTATCGTTGACATACTGTTGAATATCGTCGATTGTTGACCACCTGTAACATTAACAACCAGCTAATGTTAGGATTAGCCTAACTGTTGTATGTGTGAGTGTAAGAAATATTTAATAATATGTGACTCGAGATGCTCGATCGAGCGCGCAAACTGACCGTCTATACAGCCGTGCGGTAACACGCAATTGAATGAGTGACAAAATTGTTTTAAACTTTAATTGTTTTAAATATCGGAAACTCATAAAAAACAAGGTTCATAGTAACAATCCCGTTCATAGCTATAATGAGTGACAAAAACCTATAACCTCAAGGTCGGCTGTACTTCTCATGGTACGTTCAGCCATTGGCCCCAGCCGGTTTCTCGTTAGCACACACTAATCCACATTAGACCTGTGTGGAGGGCCATGGCCTATTCTCCTTATGTCATTCAGAGGGAAGGCTTGTGCTCAAGTAGAGAGGACATGAATAGGCCGATGATAATGTAACACATATCGTTGCTTAGTTTGACGATCTCTGAGGTTAAGTAGGTAAACATCCCGGCAAACTTACCAAATACAAAGAAGCCTGCAGAGTAGCAATTTTACATACAGAAACGTCTACTGCACAAGTTCATTTATCGGTGGTTTTACTCAAGAAGTTTTCCACTACCTAAACCATGTAAATACTCGTGTTGTACTCGACACTAGTAGTGAAAATTTGTACCAACTAGATTTAGGAGATACGATGGTGAGAAGAATACTTCCTGGTACGACCACACAGAAACCCGTGTTATTATTATACTTATTTCAAAATGGTATGAAATAACTTAGAATATTTACTATTTTTACGCCTATTTTCGAATTTCCTACTAACTAGATTTTAGAAATATGACTGTCGTATTAGAAAGAATAACTTCCTAGCACGACCTCGCTGAAACTTGTGTTATTTTGGGGATTTTATATCAGTATAAAGTAGATTAGAATATCTACTATTTTTTACTTATATTTTTCATTATAGTGTAAAATTAGGATTTATTTAGCGGATTTAGTATACTGCCGATTCATTCAACACACATACTATATGCTTCCCATAAACAAAATAATGATGCAACTATAAAATCATAATTTATGAAATACAGAAGAGGTAAAAAGCGCAATATCATTTATACTTTTTATTAAGGTAAATGTAAGACCAAATGAAATACACATACACGAATAAATGATATGAATGATTTATTTACTCCCAAAATTAAAAACTCAGTTGTTATTTAATAATCAGCGCCATTTTTACTTTTTTCTCTTTATTAAAAATTTATTCAAAAAGCAAACAGTGGTGTCGATTCTGGTATGATTATCTAAACTTAAAACTAAAACTAACATCAGTCTCTCCTTTTCATTCTGTATAGAGAATGACAAGGATACACTGTTGTCAAATTTAATTTTAGGTTTAGAGAACCATGCCAGAATCCACACCAGTATAATGTTAAAAAGTTGATTGCGAAGTCTGCCAAATTATACTGACTACTTTTTGTAACATTAATAAAAAATAGGAGGTTCACAATGAATTTCCATAGACTTTTCTGCCCGCTCAGAGCGTTAAAAACGGATTTCCATACACTTTTCCAGTCCGCTTAGAAGTCACCACAGTAATTTGGACTTTTCTGCTTCATATTTAAAACAACAACTAAGCACTTTCCGAGCAGTGTAGTATAAAGTTATTTTTCTAAGATTTATTAGTAAATAGGAGATAGGATCTAAATTACTTTATACTGTTTTAAAATCCCCAAAATATCACAAGTTTCCGAGAGGCCGTGCTAGTAAGTTATTCTTTCCAGCACGACAGACGTATCTCTCAGATCCATATAGTTAGAAATTGAGAAATAAGAGTAAATAATAGTAAATATTCTAAACTATTTTATACGATTTTAAACTTCTGGAAACTTTTCCAGAACAACATTGAGTTTCGGCGCGGTCGTGCTAGGAAGTTGTTCTTTCTAGCACGACACTCATATTTCTAAGATCTAGATTGTAGGTAATTCGAAAATAGGCGTAATAAATAGTAAATTTTCGAAGCTATTTAATACAATTTTGAAATTCAATAATAAAACGAGTTTTTGTGTGGTCATGCTAGGAAGTATTCTCCTCAGCATGACCATCGTAGCTCCTAGATCTAGATGGAAGAAATTTTCAAAACAGTGGTAAATAAAATAGTACAAAATCTTGCAATTTTTTACCGCCTAAAGATATTAGAAAAACATCCATGGTCGTGCCAGGAAGTGCAACACAAATACAACGGTTTTCACCACTCTGAGTCGAATCCCTTAACTAACATTATCACTTACCTTGGGGTTAGGCTAATTGATTAAAATGTAGGAAATTTATTTAAAAGAATATAATATTATGTTACTTCTTAAGAACGTATACCTTGAGGATGTCTTATATTGACGGCGTAGTTGTCCAACTGTAAGGACGATCTGCTGCCATTTCTCGTGAACCTTGCTACATGATATGCTCCATCGTCGACCCTGGCCGCTTCATCACCTAGCGGGTGATCACCACCACCCACGTTGTACACCATGAAAAGATTGCCTCGTATCTGAAATGGCATATAAAAGATTCGGAACCATAATTTCTTTTAGACTGTGTGTGTGCCTACAGACCCACGAGTAAAAATGCAAAGCTTTAAGGTCTCTACCCACTACACAATATCATACCATGACCGTGCTATGAACGTGTCAGGCAAAAAAATATTCTTTGTATTAAAAAGTATGAGACAATGCTCACTAGCCCGTTCCGTCACCGACCAGCACCGTCGCGTGCCATGCAGGGAGCGGCTACTATTGTCGGCGAGAATATTTTGCCGGTGCCGATACGCTCCGCGCATGGCACGCGACGTTGCAAGACCGATGCGCGCAGGCAACAAAACGGTGACTATACGGGTTAGAACCGCGTATGATGATCGTTATATAGGCGTCTCAAACGCCGGAAGTACTGAAAAAACTTTTCTACATCTTCAACTAAGTGCTTAAACAACGTCCAAAATTCTCTTTCAGTTTTTCGTTCTTTTATAGAATCGTGAATCCAGTAGTGTTTTTTTTTTGATTCTGTTCTTGTTCCTCATCAATATTATGGCAATCATTGTCAGTTGTCTAACAGTTAATGTTTTAATAGCCATACCTATTGTATTTAAAACTTGATAGCACTCCGCAAACATCCATTCATTACCGATACACATGTAAGAATGAAACGGATTCTTATCGATTTTGGTGAAGACGTCATACAAATTACTAAAGGCAACATACGGGTTGCATACGGGCATCATACGGGGTGCACACCGGCCACATACGGGCATTATACGCCGTCGATCCGTTTCGATGGGCAAATCAAGCCGTTTCGTGTCAGTTTCCGTGTTTGATACGGTCCTAGCACGTTCATGGTATGAAACGGTGTATTCGGCAGAGACCTTTATGCAGTGCGCGTGTGTGACTGACTGATGGCCTGTCGTCACCAATAGAAACGTTCCTCTGCGTACCTACAGTGCGAAGAAGATCTTGTGGCACTTAGATGACGATCACAATAGGGGGCTGCTGGTGACTAAATTTTGAAACGAGGATTATTAAGTACCTACGGAAAATCTCCTCACTAAAGGGAACGCTATACATAATTTATAATAATTCGGAAAGAGTAATAGGAAATAAAAAAGGCTTATTAGCACCTTCCTCTTTAAATGAAAGGCTTATTTATATCTTCCTAAACTTAGTTCCGAATTCGGCCACATGCCACAAGATCTTGGTCACACTATGCACAACAGGCGCTATGTATAAAGTTTTATTCTGTGCCTCCTTTACTCGTGTGCTAGATTTTTTTTTTAATTTGACAGTTGCTAGTATCAAAAATTTAACCGTTTTTAATGTATTTGTGGACACGACTATGAATTAAGGGCGATTTTCTGGATGCAGTCTGCTTATGAACGATTAATAAGAAAATAAATATCGACAAAATTTAAAAGCCTTTTCATAGACTCTACTTCACCTTGTTAATTAATGCCGATTCGGAAAATCAGAAATGATCCTTTTATCGAAAGAAGAAATAAAGAATATCAACAGTGTGATGCCTATAAATTTTAACGGTTTTGGTTGGTCATATATAACAATCGGGAACAATAGATCAGGCCTAAAGTGATTTTTGTAAGATAGTTGTAAGACCGTGAAGCAATATATGTTATCACTACTGTTACGAATATATTTTCGAAAAATCTGACATAAGGCATGAACATTATCCTGATTTACAATGAGCTTTCAACATAGGTTAATTGTCATTGGAAAAACAAAAGGAAACTATTTAAATGATCCTCAAAAAATACAACGGGTAACCTAACTTAACCTTTAGTTAGATTAAAATAAAACCCATGTAGACTCACGATCTCCATCTGCATGTAATCTTGAGTATTCGAAGATTCTATCCTCAGGAGAACGGCGTCTGATTTGCTTGTGACAAAACCCAGTGCTACCTTGTCGGTCTCCGTATCAGCCACGGAACTTGGCGGGAAAGTGTATGTAATGATGCCGCGGCCTGGTCCGAATTCGTACGCTATCGATTCTGTAATCAGAGATATTTTGAAAAGGAGTTCGTGTATCGACAATAATTTACAGCGAAGTTTTTACTAGTGAAGTATCCATTGAAGGATACAGAAACTGGTTATATTAATTCAAGATTAATATATTTATATTTTAAGCATTGAACTGCTAGATGTTTAAATCGAAAGATAAGATAAGATAAAAACTCTTTATTGCAAAACACAGTAACAAAACAAGTAGAAAAATACATTATTGCACAAAGGGCAGTCTTATCGCTAATGAGCGATTTCTTCCAGACAACCCAAAAGAAGATTTTTTACTAGAAAAAAAATCCACTGTGTCTGGTCCTGGACTGGTTGCAATTTTAATCTAGTAAAATATTGTTTAAAAGTAGTTGAGATTAAGTTGTTCAAGCTCATTCAGTCAGTCATAAGGATAGAAAAAAATCATTAAGCTTACCATCATAACAAGTGGGTCCTGTAAATGAGGTTAAGTCGCAATCACAAACGTATGTGTTCCATTGCTGTACACAAACCCCTTTATTGGCACATGCATTGTGGGTACATTTTGTTGGTCCTGAAATAAATTCAAAGAAAAATAACTAAGTTGAAGGAGCATACACATGACTTTATTAGGTATGACTTTAAATAAATAAACCTCAGTCTAATTTTGTATTTCAAATTGCCTAAGATTTCGCCAACTTGGGATTATTTCGTCTAGTTTTGTTTTCAACAAAAGCCTATAGTTCTCTACTCTAACACTTATAATGAATCTGTACAAAACACAATAGTCGACAAACAGTAAATTTACAATAAATCCTCAGTTTAAAAAAAAAATATTAGGACATTAGGTTTTAAGAATACGAAATCACCTTCACATCCTGATCCTAGGGACGAACTCGGCACCACTGCATCATCCATTAATGATGGTGACTCGCCAGGTAAATCCAAGCTAGATATACACCCTTCAAAACCTTGTCGAGATAGTACTCCTACTGGCAGTGCGGAATACATATCCTTAGGAACTCCTCCGACGAACAGTACGCTATCCAATTCCAGCATCAAGTTAGAACCTTGGGAAAACATAATTAATAAACTTATTATAAAACAATACCATACAAGTTTTAATAAATGTTCAATGCTAATATTAAGTTATTATATATTTCAATTGTGAAATATTTTTCTGATTTTATTAACTCTTTGCTTATAATTTTATAGAACTTACTTGTTGTGTGCATTTCCAAATCCTCATCAACTTGGAGTGTATGAATTTTCGGAGTCGGTCTTCTAACAGACACAGAATGCCATCTGTTGTCATTCAAAAAGTTTTTGAGTTTGTCTTTCATTGTAACCACACCATCTCCAAGATTAAAGACACAATGTATGTGACCATTCACTAGCTCTATGGCGATAAAATCTTGCTTCTTTCCTCCGTTATAAAACAATAATCCGTCCATTTCAGTTGTACGGAAATAGAAATCTAAATAAGTATTGGCATAAGCTTTCAGTAAAGGCAGACCAACATATGTATGTTTTGATTTGAAAGTGACAGATTTATAAACATTTAGGGAATCTGGTTTTCGAAAAGTTCCAGTGAAAATAATGTTAGATGTATCGTAGATATGATTGCTCTCATCACTGTCACCAATACCGAGGGTCTTTGCCATATCAATGTATCTTATGCCGTTAAAAACAAACTTCTGTAGATACCCGACAAAATTGGGAAGAGTAGATGTCATTTGTATTTCTTCTTCAGGATGAAATAAGCCCCCTAAATGTAAAGTTGATATTGCTAAAGTTGATGCTTTTCCTAAAATAGTTTCAGCTGAAAAAGAAATCAATTCATTTGAGTATCTTAAAGTTACATTCACGTCACACCTAACCACAACATTGACTTTAAAATAAAAAGAACTAGCAAAGTAAAGACTTCATTCAAATATTATCATTGGCAGCCATTCTTGAAGTTATTTACACAGTATCCAAAAGAATTAGCATTTTCATTACATAAGTAGTTCAAGCTTGAAAGTTGCTAGTGTTAATGATTCATAAGTCCTAGCGCTAACTAGAAGAGGTGTTAAAGTACTCTCTCGATAGCCGTGAAAATGTATACTCGCCGTAATGCCTACGCCTAAACAACTACTCATATAATAAATGTAATTTTGTTACCTGATGTTTGACCTGTCCTGTTCTACAAACAATCAAATCTTGAACAGAACAAGTAAATATTATTTAATTAGTAGCACATTCACATAGGACACTACAGGAAAAATAAATAAATATAAATGAAGTAAGAAACAAGGGCATTCAACTAAAAGGTGGAGCCAAAGTGCCAGCTATGAACTCGAACATAAACTAAGCCACTATTCTACATTTACTAATAGGACATCTAACAACAACACTAAACACTCTTCAAAGTTTGAAAAGTGTTTCTAAAACTTTGCTCTGTAACTAAACGAGCAAAATTTCTCACACACGAATAGTTTTATATTTGACTCAGTTCCAGTAACCCACAAATATTATAATGAACGTAGTCGCGGGCATAACTAAGAAATTAAAAAAGATAACCAATTATATGTCCTTGAAGGTAATGACAAGAACATAGATTCTGGGACTGAACCAAAACCAACCTTATATCCACTACTTAAGGGTCAAAACAAAACTGTGCGGGTGCTGTCCCGTGCATACGTACATAACATACCGCGCACTGGCTGAGCTCCGTCGACCTGGAGCTTCAAGTTTGAAGCACGCCGAGAGAACCTAACCGTATGCCAGTTATCGTCAGCAACGTTGGAGCCAGCAAGGAGATTCTGTGAAACATCAAAGATTTGTATAAGCGAGATAATCCAGTAAATATGATACCTAACAAGCAATCCTCAGTTGATTAGTTTCGCGTAAACACAGGATAATCCTAGTTCAGGCTACGTATTTCATTTATCATGTTGCTGTTTTTTTTTAATTTAGATCTAAGTAATTATAGCTGTGGGGGTAAAGTATTTTATTTTTAAATATTTAATAGAAATGAAAACAGGGGTGGCAGTGAAACAATTTATTTATGTCTAAAAAAATAATATAAATAAAAAAGTATCACAATTCATAGACAAAAATATAAAATAATGATTTATAAGGTAATGCGGAAAAGATTTTGAATACATGTGTTGAATACTTGCACATTTTGTTTTAAATTTTACTAGTTGAGAGCAAAATGGACTTTCGTAAATCTAGTGTGCACCAATAACAAAGTACATTCTGAAGGAAGATCATCGTCATCTAAAGAACGAATCCTAAGGAATTTAGATCTCGAATACACTTCAGTGACTGACCTTTTCCCGATCTCCCAGTCGCACGCTGGCTCTTACTCTTCCAGCGGCCACAGCCAGCTCGATCCTGTCCGCCGAGTGTTCTGACGCTGTCCGCAGCAAGAGACCTGCCTTTGTCGTCCGGAACCTCAACATCAACTCCTCGGTTTGTGTAACGTGCTCTGGTCCCAGCGAAGCCGTGAGATGCTGACTGCCGTTCAGATGAATTGTAGCCGACTCTGTAATTTGAAAAGAATAACTTACGTTATTTCAAAATCTTGTACCAAAATGTATCTTAAAATAAATGAAGCATAATAAAGACTTTACAATTTATTTAGGAATAGAATAGTCAATATTGAGGAACAACTATGTTTCTTTATTATCGGCACTTTGTAAAGTGCCGTGGCTTAGATTTCTTTAGAAATAATCTATCTAGTATAATTACAAATGTTATTTTATTTATATATGACATAACATAAAAAAACTAGTTACTACTTTCGTGGATTATTTTTATTATATTTTAGTATTTAAACCACTAACTACTAATTAAGAAAATCTGTTTGATATTATCCTTTTTTCACCCGAAGAAAAAGATCACTGTTAAATCTTTATAGCAACCATTTATGTTTTAATTTAAATTCAATGGAGGCCACAGTCCGTCCGTTTGAAGTACGTAGAGATACGTACTCAGTTCATAAATCTAGATAGCAAACTCAGCTTTACGTACATTAGTACATCTGATCTGACAAGCCTTAATCAGTGCGCATACCTCTTCCGCAAGTTGGTCCACCATAGTTTGTCGAAGAACAGTCACAGAGAGGGCGATTCCAACCTTCGGAACAAACACCTCCATGCTGGCACGGAGAACTGACACATTGCTTCATCAAAACGTGACAAGCTGGTCGCACTGACGCTGTACGGAATGAAAATATACTTTTTATACAAATTGACTTGTTCGGCCATTGAGTCGTCCAAGAATAGACGAAGAAAACTTATCAGTATTAAGTAGTGGCTAGACGAGAACTCAAAATAAGTAAATACTTGTTTGCATACCCATACATAAATAATAGCAATTTATTTTCACGTATTTAAAATATTTACTGCCTGCATTGGTGAGGAGAACTGGGTATAATATAATAATAAGACAGAATCTATAGTATGTATTGAAATGGAAAGTACTTTAGAAAACTTTGCTTTGAAATCGAGCTGAGTACTATGCAATGGATTCAAACGACTCTACAGATGGAGCTGAGACCAACAACTTAACTTTAGGAGTTCGAGATAAATTATCTTATCTTCCGCACAAATAGAGTTCGATATAATAAATATTTTCGGGTACAACGAAAGTGACTTAACTTCTACACGCTAAACTATTGATCCGAGAAACTATACCTACATACATGCTTCCAATCTCACCAGAATCCTGTTGACGCGCATACGCGGTGAGGTCTTGCGGCTTCCCATTCAACACAAGGTCTCTGATGCAACCTACAAAGCCCTGCCTAAGAGCGGCAGTCCATAACGCAGGGGGCGTGCGGGATGCCGAATATTCCGAACCCAAGCCACCAACATACAGCGGTCCATCTAATTCCAACTGATTAGATTCTCCTGGAAATTACAAAATGTTGGTATAATAAAACAAAGTCAAATCAAGGAAAAGTTTTTACAAATCAGTAATATTTCATTGGTCCTCAAGTAACTAAAGCGGCAAGTTTTTTATCGCATTAGCTATTTTTCAACTTGAGTACACTCAGTCAAAGTCAGTCACTTGACAAACAGGACATCAGAAGTAAATACAAGGTCCAACAATTTAAATTTACGTTACGTTCTAAATTATGATTGAATACGAATTAGCATTAGGGTAATATAAATGTCACTACTTTCATCGCTAACAATAAAGAGAATATGATGATTTCATCATAACTTTAACCAAAATATAATCTTTGAATTTTAAACTACATATTACGTAATGATGCGGAGGAGCAATTCATAATACTGATAATTCCTTACAACAAAAAATATTATTTACCAGGCGTTTTAAATTCAGCATTCGCCCCATCCACTGTGACTCTCCCGTCCCTTCCGCTTCTTCTTAACAAGAACTCGTGCCAGTGTGAGTCGTCTACCCTTCTTCGAGACGCTCTTACCCTCACACCTCCCGAACCAAGGTCTACATGCACGTAAATATAGCCGTTGAGCATTTCCACGGCAAAAAGATCAGCCTGAAATAAAACGCTAAGTCCTAATAATATTACAAAAATAATGCTCACCTATTTCTACGGAAGGACAAGGCGTCATTTCAAATCGAAAAAAACTAGGGGTTTATCATAGTTTATTTTGCCATTTTCGACATTCTTTGGTGTCGGAAAAAATTGCATCATTTTAATTTAATTAGTAAGTATTTCATTCAATAAAATTTTGTTACATTTTGTCTTGTTCTATTGTTACCTCAAAGAAAATTACAACATCAACATTATTTCAATTATATTCTGTTGACTTCGTTAGTAAATTACTCCACTTGTTTAACATTGAGACGATAATGCGAATGTATCGGATAGTGTAGTACCACAAAATTCAAATTCCCCGAAACAATTTGAGAAACACTGTTCCAAGAAAATAATTAAGACGAACATTCTACGATTTCACGGAAAGAAGGAAGTTTGTTCACATTCTTAACACTTAAAGTGTTTATTATAGTCTACAGGCAAATTTATTGGACAATATTGTGTTATTTACATATTTTTAATACCTTTTGTTTGCAGTTGTTAGATGATGTAACGATGTTACGGAATCTCTTTCTGTTTATAATTAAAATACACAATCGTGTTGAAATTATTCATGTATTTATAATAAACTTCGCTTATTCAAATCTTTCAATACCATTTACCGAAACGCTTACGCGTTCAATAGCAATAGGGATAAATACGTGGGCGATTTATTTTCTTTTGTATGATATGAAATTGGCGGCTCAAAATAATACAAGAACTTTCTTTCGTTGTTACGAGTACTTATTAGTCGAGTATTGATCCGACTAATCATATTGGATACAATTCAGTAATACTTTAAAAATACTAGGTACACAGTACATAAAACTCCAAGTGGCGTTTTCTAAATCAAAACAAAATAAATTTAAAATAGATATGTAAAACGTAACGCCCTTTGTAAAGTAAACGTTCATCTCAATTTTTAGAACCACTTAAGAAAAGCAATTGCCAGAATTGGAATCAAAGAGATGTTATACTTTTATTCAGAATCAATAAATAATAAAGCTATTTGAAATCACAGATTTTATTATCCAATCAACCAAGAATATAAAATAAACCTTATGAAATTTCAACTGTTTCATAGACATTTACATTGAAGCGGCTGAAGGTTTTAATATTTATGCTGGCCAAACACATTTGGCCCGTCATGTTTTAATGTTTTATTTTTATTCAATCTCGTGAAATGAGCATTATACACAATTTTACACATATATTTTTAAATGCTAGTGAATAATTAATAAAGTGATAAAGGATGATTTCACGCACGCACATGCAAGTGGCTAGTGTACTTATAAACAAAGTGATAGAAATTCATAATGATCCCTTAATAATTATAATTCACATGATATGGTTAATGTTAATAATATAAGTGTTAAAGACGTGCATTAATAGATTTGTAATGAAATTACACGTATACTTTATGACAAATCGATGTAGCTTCAAAACAAAAATGGAATAAAAAACATCGAACACGAAATGCATGCAAACTATTCACGAAGGATTTGAATTCTACATTTTCCAATCGAGCAGACATGCAAATTCGTACCACGGCGAACAATAGTTTTCAAAGCTGTAAACTCCGGATTCTGAATTAGGTGTGCCACAAATAAACCAGTATCTACATGGAATTGCGGTTACTGGATATAGAAAACATTAATTATATTAATAGTTGTAGTACAAACTTGGATAACTATTTGTTTTAGACACGTATTACCAATTGTTGTTTAGATCTGCGGATTGTATTTGCTAAAATAATTTAACGATAAAATGTAATAAACTTTAGTAATCTTGAAGATAAGAAAACAATCCATGTATTAAAATTATAGCATTATTTAGTATGCTCTAGCTTTTTCGATTCCATAAAACATCTTGTAGCTTTTTAATTGCTAACGATTTCTATTCAATAGTTTCAGGAAGCTGAGATAATCTTGTTCAAAACTAAAATTAAAGTAATGCTCTCATGTATTCGTGACAACAGGAATTTCTAAGTAAAGTGTGATGGTGCAAATTTGTGTAGGTATTAATAAAGCCCTTATACCAAGCTTTCCGATTAAACATTAACTAATTTCTAAAAGGTATGTGAAGGGTTCCTAACATCAGGAGCATTACGATACACATGTGCTTCATAATCTACGTGCACTTCAAAGGACAAACATATAACAATTGACGATTTCAAAGTGGGTGAAACTTTATAAGGTACCATACACAAATTGGCCTAATTGCTTATTTGGATTCGATCAATAGTACTCGTCCTGTTTACTCCGCCTACCATGCAGTAACCCCAATGAACATTCGAGATGATAAATTACTTTTTGGGAAAGATATGAATCAAGAAAATTAATATGTACGTATTTACCTGAGATCATTATTCATTGAAGTTATATGGGGATTACATTTTATTCGAAAACTAAAGTAAAACTGTTATAGATTTGAAAAAGTCGCTCTATATAATGATAATTATCTTTTGAAAGCTAACTAATATCTGAATTATGAAATATGCTTGGTAAGTAATATGACAAAATTATATAAACGTTATGGATTGGACAATTTCTAGCACAGTTCCAAACAATAAAAACGGGCCTTTCTAAATATTTAACTTCGTTACAGATTATTATGTTTATTGCATTTTAATAACAACAAAAATAAGGGGAGGCGAAAAAATATGGCTACTCATTAGTCTACATTAAGTTTTTTGAACTATTATATTTATATAATATATAGATAAAGTAAGATTGGATGAAATCCCCATATAGAGCAAAGGTTCAAATTTAATTGCAATGAGACTGATGATGATAATAGGTGAGATCTGTTAACCCCAAAAGCTCCACCCCTTACCGTGCAACCTACCCTTGGTGGTTTTGCGCCCATGTTGAACAATATCAATCCGTTTGGTTCGTTCGTTCGAAACTTGAACGATATAGTTCCGGTTTTCACTGCCTCCCATTTTGGTAAAATCTATAAAAAATAAAAAGGGCTAACTTAATAATTATATCTTAGTGTAAATAAAACTGAGGAGACTGAGAGGAGCTCGATAGCGCAAATGGTTAGCGCGTTCGGCTGCGATCGTTGAACTTAAGCAACTTTCGCAGTGGTCGGTCATTGGATGGGTGACCAAAAATTACTATCTCGAGCTCCTCCGTGCTTCGGAAGGCACGTTAAGCCGTTGGTCCCGGCTGCATCTGCAGTCGTAAGCACCCATCAATCCGCACTGGGCCCGCGTGGTGGGTCATGGCCCAATCTCCCTATTCCATCCATAAGGAAGGTCTGTGCCCCAGCGTTTAGCGTGGAGACATTAATAGGCTGATGATGATGATGTAAATAGAACAAGTTTTAACGGATTAATGCACGAACTTTATTTATTTATAGACGTTTCGCAGTCTTTTCAGGTCTGCATCGTCAGAATAATGATTTTTTATTTAAAATCATTAGTCTGAATGTGTCTCTGCCTCATAATAAGTGATGTGCGTAAAATCCTAAGAAACAAATATATATCTTAGTGTTTCAGACTCCTGAAACTTAAAACAGTGTGCACTTATAAACTCGTTGTTAATGAAAGTGTTAAATTATTAACCTACTTTCCACCACATCTGATTTTTTTTAATAAATTGCTTTGCTAATAATTTGAACTTACAAAACCTTTTTACTCAGAAACTATTTTAAATACATGCAGCATGAAGTGGTTGGCTTGCTATTTTGTTACGTATACATATTTAATGTATTCTGATTGGGCACACTGTTACTACCATTCGAATAGTATAATCCGAACTGGCGTGTAGGTCGCGCCAACCTTGATAATGTCACCTGTCAACCTTGGGTAGTAGAGGGTTACAGTTGCAACCAATTTAGTAACAGTCTGAATTTAGAAATAGAATGAACGGGCTTCTGTGGATACTGAAACAATTTGTCAAACACAAACTGCCTTTTAAAATTTTTCATTTCGCAAGCTTAAGGCTATGAACTCATGACGCGATTTTCTCCAGCGTCTGCCGCGGTTGCGGGAAAATACAAATACCTATATAAAATTTACTGCGCAATTTACGCCCGCAGAGCGTGCGGTTGTTTGCGACACCGGCTGCGAGCGATCGCGTAACACGATTACCCGCAGACGCCGGAAACTTCAGCAGATCTCGCAGCTGCTGCGGCTGCGGTACCGCAGAAAATTTGTTTTGAAAAAAAAAAAACAGCTCTGCGGTCAGCCGCGGTTGCGGGGCAAAAACCGCTCTAAGAGTTCTTAGCCTAAGCTTAATAGTTTGTGATTATAGATCAAATGTTGATACTTTATTAATATGTTGTTTAGATTCTTAAATACAAAACTCTGATTAGTTTAGGAAATATAAAAAGTACACCCGACGTTACTATTGGTGAGAGCTTGATCAAAAGCCAATGTTTCAGATTTAGCAACTGTCTCATTTATATTTAAGTGTTACCAATTAATGGCGACGTGGTTGTTGCGTGATAATATCAAAGCACTGAAATATTCGGGTGAATATGTATTTAAAGAGTAGGTACCCTACAGAAAAATCAATACTATTCGATAACACAAATGAAATCTATAGACAACAGATTGCGTGAGCACCATCCAACTGTTTTCGTTTAAAACCTACTAGTATAATTTGCCGTCGTCATAGCTCATAACAATCGGTTATTCCCATTAAATTCAAAGGCTGGTGCGTATGGCGGGTTATAATAATTCACTTTTAGGCTCAACTCACAATGGCGCAAGGCCGAAGCGACGCGGCGACGCCGACACCACGCGATGTGTTTTGCCTGTAGCAAATTCATCTCTATTTTCTGAGTATTAAAGTATTCCCACTTATACGACGCGCGACTTCTTCATATCAAGTTTCATGTTTTTCGTCTGTAGCAAATTCATCTCTATTTTCCCATTGTTAGGGTATTCCCAAGGCGAAAAACATGACACGAAAATTATACCTAGCAACAATCAAACGCTAATGTCAACGAGATTATAGTGCGAGAGGTCTCCGCACCTCAAATCCGCGTTCCACCTCTAGACATTGAGTGCAACTATTCAGTCATCATCATATACTCATCCCATATCAGCCGTACGACTCCCACTGCTGAGCATAGGCCATCTCCAATGATCTCCACACCGATCGATGCACGCCGCTCGCTCGCTCTATCGGCTTTCTGCGACTTTTTGAAGATTGTCGGTCCACCTCGTAGGAGGCCTGCCCACTGAGCGTCGTCCGGGGCGTAGTCGCCATTCAAGAACCTTTCCAACACAACGGCCATCGGTTCTCCCACGTGTCCCGCCCACTGCTACTACAGCAGAGCAACTGTACAAGCGATATTGGTTACTTTGGTTCTCCTACGGATTTCCTCATTTCCGATTATATCGCGTAGGCAAATACCGAGCATCGCTCTCTATTGTTCAGCGTGTGACCTTTAGCCTTCTTTTGAAACCCGCAGTAAAGGACCACGTTTCGCCACGCCACGTTTTTATGTTGTTTAAAAGCCATACTAATCTCATACAGACTGACGTCCGGGATATCTTCGGTATAGTGTCGAGTAAGCTTGGCTCTGGTTTAATACTTTAAAGCATTTGAATATTCAATAATAAATAAAATTTTGGTTAATATGTTAATTTTACATGCAAAAAAATATCCCCCTGCTAAGCAACCTTTATTAGAAATACTGTAGCAGTCATTTTAGGCTTAATTTAAACAAAAATCTCAAAACGAAAATGAAAGCTAACACTTTTCATTTCGTCAATTTGAGGTTAAAATGTCGAACAATTATCTTTCAAATTCAACTCTCCGTTCGAAAGTTTTGTTAGAATAAGCTTGAAGAATTTAAATGTGAAACTAATTTCTGACGAACGATTTTCGAAATGAAAAAGAAACAGAGTAAGGAACCTGTAAAATATCGATGTAAATTTCGTTTTTTTTTTTAAATAGAGCAGGCCTCCAATTGTATACATAAATAAAACTCATTATACAGCTGCACATGCAGTCCCGGTCTAACACTAAAATAGTTTGGGACCTAATGAGAAATCCACTTGACGACTCTATTCAGAGAGGCTTTTGATTTACCTACGCATTATACGAACTTCGTACCGCCATAAAATTAGGGGTTGCCGGTAGAATGGTGAAAATTTAGGTTTGTGTGTATTTTTAACGCCACATTATAAAAAAAATGTTCAAAAAATGAAAAATAAATATTAGGGGTGGACAACCCTTATTTTATTATTATCACGTATCGATGAAAAATAGATAGTAGCTCATTCTCAGGCCTACTGAATATGTATTTAAAATTTTATTAAAATCGGTCAAGTGGTTTCGAAGGAGAATGGTAACTAACATTGTGACACGAGAATTTTATATATGTATAAGATAAGACTAGCTGGACCAGCGAACTTCGTATCGCCATAAAAATATGGGTGGTGGAAGGGTAAAAATTTAGGGTTGTAGGTATGTCTTTTTGTATGATGTATCATAAAAATATAAAACAAAAAAAATAGTCCAAAACAAAAAAATAAGGGTGGACAACCCATAAGATATAGGGGGATAAAAATAGATGTTGTCCGAATCTCAGACCTACTAAATATGCATATAAAATTTCACGAAAATCGATCGAGCCGTTTCGGAGTAGTTCAGTTACGCACACTGTGACACAAGAATTTTACATATTAGAAGATTATGTGCAGATTTTGTTGGAACTCAATGCATGAGTGACGATGTAAGTTGACTATAATAATTGCCAAGTGTAGGTACCAACAAATATAAATATCTCAAACTCAAATCATTTATTGCAACCATAATGTGTACAGTGGGTGGTAGGTACTTATATAAATATGAGCATTATGGACCCCGTCGGGCACGCAATTGGTTATTAGAAGAAGATGATATCTCAAGAAGTATAATTAAGAATTTGGTGCTAAGAGGGGAGGCGGACAATGTTTTTCCGTACAAACGTTCTCGGCTGAAACCTCCTTAATTTTTATCACCAAACAATTGAAATCATCCATAAAATATAATTTTACTCATTATATGCTCCTATGTCTTCCTTTTTGCGATAACTTGTATTTCAAAGAAACTAGAAGCGCTCAAAAACGCCAATTTTTTTTTATCTTCTCTAAAGACGTCTAATGCGAAGATTCAATAAGCATAAAAAAAACAATCGAGTAAGTCAATCTAATTCTTCATTAATGGATGTGATATTATCATCACAACAATCTGTGAAGGATGATAAGAGCATTCAACTTTTCCAGTTTCTTATCTTTTCATAAATATAAAGAACCTTTTAACAGTCCAAAAATTTTTCCTAGCGTCTGTAAAGGGTATATTTTGACCTATCGGTCTGGCGAACTACAAACTGGCGTTACGCCGAATCGCCGCTTTCTGTGGTGTTGCTGAACTGGCGATAAATTCACTTAATCACAAATCTAGCCTCACCTTGAATGGATAATATAGAAAGAACGCGTGCTTGACATGACTGAACTTAAGAAGTAAAAAATTACTTATTATTTATTATCATCGTCATTGGTGATATTATCCACCTGTGTTCAAGCCTTTTCATTTCTGACAGAGACAATTTAATATTAATATCAATACTAAAATTGATGCTCATTAAACAAAATAATCCAAAAATAAGACTTCTGTAAAAACAAAGATAATTATTCTGTACTACGATAAAATGCCTAATATTCAATGCCTTTAATATACAGTGTGAAATCACAAAGAAAGCAATCACGTTGTCACTGCCCCAGAAGCAAATCGCAAACATTATCTTGATTCAGAACAGTAACACAGGTGTATGTGGTGCTATCTACTTTTTGATGAGAATTTGTCTCAGAATAGGCTATTTGACAGTATGTAAAATAAAATACCAATTATTGGCATGTGTATTTATAATGAATATTGGGAGCGATTTCACTAATCTAACAAAAAAGTAGCTTGAAACATTACTAAGTACTAAAGTCATTTTAATCTATTGTCTCGTGACCAAAGCGGCTAGGATTGACGAAGCCTAAAATGACGTTACCTGCTTGTAAACAAGCTGTTGAAGTGGCACACTTTGTACTGTTTGACGTTATAATAAGAACTATGTGACATCACCTGTCTATAAGACCTGCCATATTTGCTAGATAAACTTTTCCGCTGCATATTAATCGAAAACATAATTTTTATTTTCGTTCTTTTTACTGATACACAACAGAATTAAAAAATATCCATCTATCCTTTTTATGGAGCCACTATACACCTAAATTATGAATGTTTTCAAAAACTTGTCAAATAGTCTATTTAGTGTAGCAACATGCCGCAAACCCCTGCAAGTTAGATAATAGGACTGCCGAATCAATCAGCAGAAACCGAAGTACCCGAACCGCCAATCGTTAACTCCCACGGAATAACCCATGTTCCAATTTAATCAGCGTCCGAGCCGGACACTTGACTAAATTCGAGAGTCCACCGTTTAAAGTGCTCTTATTACAGACAAAGGGCGTCCCCAACGAGTCGGGTTAAGACGATTTTTTAGCTACACGTACAGTTAGTAAGAGATTTGTTATTCGTAATGAAGTATAGTAACTACGCTGAATTATAGTGTATTATATAATATAGCGTAAATAATGATCGTGTATACAGGGTTTTACTGAAAAGAAGAAAAGTATGAATATAATGTAAGTCAATAACCTCGAGATGGATTTGTAATATTAAAATTATAAATATGTAATGTAAATTATGATTATATCTAATGAAAATTTTACTAGAGAAAATGCCACGCGGACCAGGCAGCAGTCGGTAAAAAAATAACTGTAAATTATGATTCTTATGGAACACAGGCAATCGTTGTGTGTACACACGTTACTTTCCACGTGACTTTAACTCGCACTTGTCTGGCTTTTACATCTAATTTATTTTTTTATTGGCTCCCTGCGCAGGCACATATTCCACCACGTAGATATAATGCGGCGGCATCTGAATGGGAGAAATGCCAAGTGCCGGACATACCGATCCATGAAACACTGGACCAGCTCCCACCCCTGCACCTACCGTCTAGATCTCCGAACTGGTCTGACGCATACCATAAAACTACTTTCAGAATAAGGGGGGCCTGGTATACTTCTTGGAATAGCTTTTATCACCCACATAAATATCTATTACCGGACTCGACGAACAAGCTGGCGAGATGCGATATCCAACGTACATTGTGTGTCAAACTCAACTGATTTAGAACAGGACACGGGCGATCAAACCACCATCTGCACAAATGGAGAGTCCAAGACACACCAGCCTAAAACTGTGGGGCCTCCGACAAGACCCTACTCCACTTTATTGAAGAATGCTCACTGTACTGTTTTCCTGACGGCTTAAAGGAGCTGAATGAATTGACGATTGCGACTATAGAATGGCTGAAAAACTCTCAAATTGTATATAATTTTGAGAGTGATGGAAAGACTCACATTATGTATTGAAGGTTTTTCGCTACTTCCCAATTTTGTAGATGAAAAATAAATCTAGTGAAACTTTGAAATTAACATTACGAGATGTTCAATTTCAATCAGCTTAAATCATTTCTATGGAACCATATCAAATGTCAACTTCATAAAGTTTATGACTGAACCTTTGTAATCAATCAGTAACATTACAACAACTCTGTACAAAATATTAATGAAAAAGCAACTCAAACTTCCACAGACTCAACTCAATTTGCGGATAATATATTTTCATTTGTTAAAAGCCTTAAAATAAGGACATGATAGGTATTGTACAAGGTTTTCCAAAAATACTCGGTGCGACCTACATTCACTAACTTGCTTTTAGTAAGCTGACCAGTTGTACAATTTTATCGGAGTCCAGAACTACACTCGACTAAATTCAAGAGTTTGAAGTTAAAGTGCTCTTGGCTGACGCCCGGAAGCATCCCAAATAGGTCGCGTTACGACGATTTTTCACTTCAAACCCTTGTATTTAATTGGTGTTTAGTTTTTCTGACTCACTTAGAAGGTATTTCATAACCAGTAATAGCACACGTTTATTACTTTGAAACCGAAGTAGAATTTAGCATTTTGAGTTTGCAGTGTTGATTCCATATACTTAACGCTGTTTAAAAATTGTACCACAATTAAATTACTAATACCGAATCTGGCAAAGTTGGTAAGCGATAATTGAATTTGCTATTCCATTCTACTCCTTAGATAAATAATTTCTAAGGCGTACAAAAAGTACTGTCGCACTTTTGTTGGTTTTTCTTTTGAAACGATGCGGAAGTTTGAAAGTTAGGCTTTACGAGCCCGAATTTAAATCGGCTTAATGATTCGCTAACTTTAGTAAATAAATCACCTTTAGAAAATAATCTTCGACCTCAAAAGTTACCTAATTTTATGAGAACCAATACAACATTATGAACTCGAATTAAAATTGCTTATTGCAATTGCTAATAAAAAAGAAACATGTTCTTGATAACACACAAACACACTCATGTTTTGTCGTGGGCCGAGATATTTATTGAAAACTGCTACACCTCTAAACCATATATAGGAGCATACATGTTAAATTTCAAGTCTCCTAATTCAAAAACGTAGGGCTCTCATACTAACTTCCAACCCCCGTATTACCCCCTTAGGGGTGGAGTTTCATGAAATTCGTTCTTAGCGGATATCTACATCCTATAAGGAACCTACCTGCCAAATTTTAAGTTTGTACATTTTATAGTTTCCGTGAGTTCGTGATTAACCAGTGAGTGGTATTTCGCTGCGACGTCGTTAGCGCAGGAGCGACGTCAGAGTCTGGAAGCTCAGCACTAACGACTTGGTCAAGCTGGTTGGACCTGATCTTCTCTTCCAACCACAAAAGCAGGTGCGCGTGTGGCAAGCCGCGTTTTTACCATTCCACGGAATAAATATGACACCGGACTACACCAAACACTTTTGCCTTTGTAAGAAGATTCATTAGGCACTTCAACTTCAGGTGGAATACGCGAAAGATCCAGTCGTACCTGTCGTACGAAGCCTGTCCTGCAAGGAGTTGAGCTGTTGTTTCAGTCCATATTGGGTTGGTATTGATAGTAATGAAGAGGTCCGGGCGACCAAACTTTCGCACGTAACAAAATGCATCTTGGGTCCTCTCGTGCATGTACCGCGGACCTCCTGTGAAGGTGGAGGGGAGAATGACCACCCTTCTTACATCTTGAGCATTTGCATCATTCTGCTTGGCACCTCTGAGATGGTCGTAGTTCTCAGCTCTCAGCTTTCTTTGGCTGGAAGTTATAAATACCAAATGCTCTGTCTCAATTTTGGCGTACATGCCCACCAGAAACTGACCAAAGAGCGTACGGTAATGGTGGAGATAAGAACCATTCTTTACCCTCAGCTGGATCAAGAAGCTGTAGAACTGCATGGCGGACGTTTTTTTGTTATAATTTGGGGAGCCTGTCTGGGGGTCTACATTATAGTGGACGAAATGGTAGCCATCCTCTCCACGACAGAACATGAGCGGATATTGAAGAGCATCGTACGCGCGGTGAGTCTCACTGATCCTTTGAAGTCGGTCATCATGCGTGCGCAAAACGATGTCTCTTTTATCACACTCCTGATCGACTAAGAGAACTGCCACCTCATTCGTCATTGGCGCATTATATTGCCCGAATGGGCTGCAAACGGCCTTCTATCTGCGCTGATGACAAACTTGCGGATTAACGTTATGCAACATACTTTGCAACTCTTTGACCAGACCAGGGTCCAAATTGGGGATGTGTCTACTTCGCAGATTTGCTTGTTCTTCAAAATCGCTTCCAAAATAAATTTGCAAAATTTTTGGAATATCTGTAGGTAGCAGTGAACCGATTTGATGGTAAACTTGCCCTTGGATCTTGAATGTCAGCATGAACCCTTCTTCAACGATTTGATTTGCACCAAACGAAGTCATCTGGAAGAAGCTGTTATAAGCTCGGATTGTTTTTCAAAAAATGGCTGAACTTCGGATGCTCGCCATTTAGTAAGACTTCTAACAGATGTGGTGGGTCTTGCGTCTATTATGTTTATCAGCCTATGTTACTTATAGTGCGAAGCCGGCTTATAGCATGGTTAACATACTAACAACATTCAAATATGCGTTAGATTACACGTTGTTACAGAATGCATTGAAGAAATAAAGGTTCACTGCTCGTTCCCCGTAGGTGATAGCGTGATAATATGTAGCCTATATGTTGACCCAACTTCTTAATAATATTCGTGCCTTTGAAGTAAATGCATGCAGTACTTTTTGAGTTTATCCCGGACATACAGACAAACAGACAAAAATTCTAAAAACTATATTTTTGGCTTTGGTATCGATTGTAGATCACGTCCCAAGTATTTTTTAAAAAAATAATCAATGTACAGTTTTGACTTTCCTACCATTTTATTATATGTATAGATATATCATATGGATTGCTCGGTACCAGAAATCCCATGTCATTAGCTATCTGCGTAGTACCAAAATTCATCCATATCCGTTCAGTAGTTTTTGCGTGATTGAGTACAAAACATACAAACTTCACATTTAAAAGTATAGTAAAATTTCTCGAGAACAGAAATTATGGATGGTCTATGGAGCAAATATTTGCTCCATGGGTTAGACTTACCAAATGAGCGTCTCTAGTGGTGAATGTTACGGGGTCAGCTGTATCCGAAGCGGTGCAAGCATACTCTAAACGCCCAGTCACAGTTATCAGTTTACTACCAGTGCGGGCTAAATCGATGAGGTTGAGACGCAGAGTGTCAGCCGAAAATTCCACCTGAAAATATTTTAAGACTTAATATCGAGAGCCAAAACTTAATTCTAGGATGACGGAATTTTACAAAACAAACGCTGAATTGTACTTATATCTATATTATTTGGGGGTGTTGTGTTATTGACTAGGGTCAAGTGGAGGACAAGACAGTATAACATAAAGAATATCTCTGTATTTTATACCCGACCATTTGACGTCTAATGACAGCTGCTTAAGATGGCGGCATATGAAAGTAATAAAACAATAAAACACACCAAGATAGATCATAGACCAATAAGAAAGTGGCAGAGATATTCCTTATGTTACACTGTCATCCACTTGACCCTAATGTTCCAGGACACCATGGGGTAAAAGTTGAATTAGGGTAGGCAACGGCACGAATGATATTTTTGATATCGCAAGCGTTTACAGTCTATCAATGGTGGTCACTTAATATCAAGTGGTCCATATGTTTGTTTGCCACCCTTCAAACATTAAAGAAATATCAAAGCAAAGGATATCAGTTAAGAAAAGCTCCCATGAATGAAGAAACTTCATTTTGCAAATCTAGATATGATAACGATGACGACCCTGAACTTTAAACTCTTTTGAACTTTGAAGACATTCGGAAATTACTTTCGTTCAATATATATACTTCGTGCGTTTTGACCCGGAGCAAATGTCATATAGAACGAAGCCTAGATATAATAAGAATGATCACTAGTGTAAGGTACCTCAAGCAGCCAATGAAATTGGTGTGTATCCTCGCCACCCAAGCTGCACGCGCGCCGGCGCATATACACTTCGTGCGTTGTGACGTGCAGCAAATTACATATCGAACAAAGTCTAGATATCATAACAATGATGACTAGTGAACCTTCTTTAAGCAGCCGATGAAATTGGTGTGCACCCTCGCCCCTGGCAAGGCCCTCGCGTTCAGGGAGCCCCCGACGTGTGCCCGGGAGCTGGCCAACATCGTAAACGAGCCAGCCACGTGAGAATGTTCCGAATACACATCGTCCACTATCGCTGATACCTAAGATTAAATAAAAAAATAATTAGATATAACCTTATAGAAAATTTTACTAGAAAAGTTCCACTTGGTCCAGGTATCAGACAGGAGTCCAGGTATCCAAGTAGATGCACTAATAAACTATTACTATTACTAATAACCGTGTCAAATTTCTCTCGTATTTCGGCTGCAAGACAATACATAATACCGACCGAACATCTAACGACTTTTATAAAAGAAGAACTTTGGCCGAAGTGTTGTGTTCCGGCGATTCCGAGGCCGGTTACCTGATACCACAACGCGTCACATGTCGCCGTCTATACGTGTTAATTAGGTGTTTACTAACATAGTTACTAATTTTACTTACTGACAATAATGTTTTATATATGTATGTATGTTAGACTATAAGGTATTTATCTATGGGCCTATGTAGCCTGATCATAAATAAATAAATAAAAATAATTATTATAATCATCAACCCGACAGTAAAATAAAACAAAATTCCTTTATTGAAGAATCAGTAGAGACAGACAGATTTCCTCTGGCCAAGATATAAAACACTCACGCAATGACAAAATCAACTGTCTTCAGTATGAGGCAAGATTTCCGGCATTTTTTTCTCTATTTTATTGAAAACACTAATAAGAAAATCAATTACTGATACTTTTTGATTCTAGATACTAAGTACTGATGTCTAATACCGTAATTAAATAAAGTAAGACCTTCTATTATATTATTTGTTTTTTTTTATTATTGAATTTTAAAGCATATGTTCAGACACGATTACCCTCTATATTACTCTCTTTCAGAGCTATGGAAGTTCTGCAATAAATATTAGCCACCTGCTCAGTGACAGGCTAGGCAAAGTTACGTGGACGAACACCGAATGTGCTTGGAACACTTGAACTAATGTAATAGATCTTCTCTTAAAAAGTTTTGTTTATGACCTTACTAAAAGTAATAGTCTTTGAGAACCATGATAATAAGAAACATTAAATTAATGGCAAACTATCAACTACATCAACAGCATCTGGCACTCAAGCAAGTTCAAAGCGACAGTTTGCTTAAAGTTCCATCATACTTAGCCAACTTTTTTCATATTGCACAACCAGAACGTGCTGTTTGCTCTTTAGAGATATATAGCGCATAATGATATTGGACATACATATTCTTGTCCGAATCCAAAACAATGTCTTTGTTAAGATTTTTATATGAATCCTATCGATTATATCACTGCGCTGAATTGGCACTGAATTATTTTAAACATAATACTATCACGGTACGGTAAAGGGGCTACAAAAAATCTCTAGATTATAACGGAGTACTACGGTCAAATTGATATTTTGGGCAAGTTTTATCAAACTTAATCGGACTAATTTTAAAAAGGGGATATAATTTTAATGAGTCAATGTCTCACTATTCAAATTGTTAACAGATTTGTTGAACCAAAACACCATCAATCTCGAAATCGTGAACACTCATAGAGTTGCAATGCAAGAGCTATCTTTCTTTTTCTTCCTTTTCAAAAATTTTAGGACCTTAACAGAAGATTCTAATTATTAGCTGGTATTTCTGCTCTGTATCATGTTTTACCTCATGTGTAGGCAGCAACTATACACCGTGAATTTTGAGTTAAGTACCTGAGAAAATTTACTAGCGAATTCAGACAACGTTATACATTTCCGCAAAAAAAATAATTTCTATATTTTTTTTCTTTCGTGACGGGTAATCATAGATTGATTAATTGGAGCTTTTAGGACTTCCATAAAATTGCGACTATCCTATTAATTTTGTTACAATTGTGATTTTGACAAAATAACGACATAACTTTGAATGACAATTGAAGTAAATATCAACATACAACAATACCCTATATAGAGTATGTAAATTCGGAAGCTCCACAATAGGGGCACCTATTCTTATATTAATTTCTATTCACACTTAAAGCGGGGCATTCACTATTATCTGAGGCCCATTCAGTTTCTAGAGCATTCTTTCTTCACTCGAGCCATATCAACTCATTGAAAAATTTAATTGAGAATCCATTTTGCGGAACGCACATTGATGTGGGAATTTAAACCATCATTTTGAAAATATTTGCATTAAGCGCTCGATTTTAAGTAATCTTTTTTCTTACATAATGTTTAGGGTAGTTAGAATACTCATCGAAAGTATATTTGATTCAGAAATAGAAGTTGGTAAGTTCAGTATAGTCAATTAACTATAAAATATTGGGTACAATTACAATATGTATGATTTAGTTGATCAAGTCGGATTCCATATAGTATCAGTCATTTATTTGAGGGACTTACTTGTAATTATAATAATGATATATTACGAGTACTTACCCTGCAGAAACTGGTGAGCGGAGTAATCTGCAACAAAAAATAATCAATTTTAATTTGTATATCATATTTTAATACCTTATACTATCACGTTTTATCCTACGCCTATTTTATGTAAATTAAGCAAAGATCGCAAAAATAGGCAAGATTCTTTGTGAGATTGTGACATCAATGGTCAGGCAACATGTTAGGTACTTTTTACCGGATACTATTTTAGCCCTGTCTGATGCCAAATTTGGTCTTGATTAGGGTGCAGTTGTGGGACACGCGTCTTACAATGTTTTATCATCACCCATAGGACACATTACGTTACTATATTGTAAATTCATTTAAAAAACCATAATTTAGTCACATTTTCATAGCTTCATTGTTTTTGCAACAATGAATAAAAGTGTAACAAATAACAAAAAAAATAAATTGTCATTGTTTAACTTTCACAAAAATCTATTTTGTAGAACGTAAAACTTTTCAAAGGGCATAACAATGAAATTGTTAGCTGCGGTTACAAATTATGTTAAAAACTTTTTGGACTTGAATCATTAGTAATTTCCAACTCTTCTGTGGACCAGCTACAAAATGGCCGTAATTTGTTTAACAAAGGCGAAGTAAACAAGTTGCTGTAATGTACCAACTTGAGAAATGCCAAGTTTAAACCAAAAACGTGTTAATAAATGTTTTACATGACAATTTAGCTTTTTATTTAATTCCTTCATTTATTGTGTGTGACTTTTTTAACCAACTGCAAACAGGAGGAGGTTCTCATTTGGTCAGTATGTATAATTGTTCTTCGCGCATATCTCCGAAATGTGTAAACCGATTCTGTTAATTCTTTTTTCGTTTGAATCAGTTTTTTGACACAATGGTCCCATATTAACTTGGTAAGAATCTGATCTGCACTTTCGAATAAAGTGAAACCAAAACCACTAAAAACTAAGAAATAATGCATATACTTTTTTTTATCTACATTTAAAGTCAAATTAACATTTGGAGTCGGTGCCATGCATATTGATGTAGATCTTGCCATTTAGTGCTTGGGTTGACATGGCACTGACGGTAGGTCATACAATCATAGCCTGTGCCCCAGAAGAGGGGACGTTAATAGGCTGATGATAATGAAAGTCTACAATAAGCGTGACAGTGAAGTTAATATTTCAGAATTCCAATTTCCTTATCTTGACAAGGACATATAGCAACTCCCTTGTAATAAATGAAGATACATTAGGAACACATTATTATATTTTAATCGTAAAACAAATAAACGTTAGTAACTTTTCATTATATTTTTTTCAGAAAACCTAAAGAGTTCAGTATTTTATGCATCTTCAAACCTGAATCATTACGTAAAAATACATAATTTGTTTAATGATATGTTTACTAAATGCTTTATAGCACTTAATTTTTTTTCGTGTAATAAAAGTCAAAGAAGTTAGCAGTCGATATCACCTTTAGGCGATAATCATTGAATTAATTATTAATAAATTGAATAAATTTGATCTAATAAATGTATGTAAAAGTGAAGGGAATATTGAAAATAAACACAAGCTTTTTACACCTCACATGGGATAAAAACATTCTATGTGGGTGAAGTAGGAAGAAATGGCCTAACAAATTTTATGGCCGTATCTAGTAGTTTAACATGTCCGTAAAGAAAAAAAAACACACCGCGAAGTTAGCTGCTATATTTTATTGACTACGCTTGGCACGTGTAGAATAGATTTAGAAAGAGACAAATTGCGTTCTCCTACTTCAAAGAATGTAATTTCTTAACTCATTATAGTAATATTATATATTATATAGTAATATTATATATGTATAGCAGGATACCGCGAATAAGGATTCACCTGTTCTAAGAAGGACAATGTGAAGGAATACTTTTTAACCAATGAAATAGGATAGGATTTTTCGATAATAATATATAATAATACTGTTAAAATTTAACAATAGCTGAATACCCCCGCCATAAGCCAATATGATCCTATTAATTATGCATGTAGGTCTTACAGGCGCTTGTCACTTTCATTGCGCATAAGGGTTCAAATGGACACAGGCAAATCCTATTCTCAAAATGCTTACCCCAAATTGAATGAAAAGTGATTTGTAAAAAGCACACAGGTATTATAGAAACGAAGTATGAATTTAAAGGAGACCCGGCACTTTTCATAGGAAAAATGCTAAACTTGTACACAGTTGAATTTGGTCTCAAAATAAAGTTAAATTATTTGATACATAAAACTACTTTTGCCTTATTTTTAGTGAATCGTGGAAAGAAGTTATTTAATGTTTAATATTTTTTGATATGGAAACCCTAAATCTTCAAGGGACAGAATTTTAATTCAAAATATTACTCAAGTGACTGTAAAAACCATGATTCCTTTGCTTTTTCTAAATAAAAAAACCAAATGTCAATTTGACAATCCTAAAATACAAACAAATAAATCATTCACATTTCGCATCCGCTCCCGCGTACTGTGATTGTGAATGTTCTCTGCTGTAATTGCCTTTTTATCCGTTATTTCTCTTGACGACCCGGCAACATATAGGGGTTATATTGACAAACCTACGTATTTGACATTGACAGCTAGCTGCTGATGACAAATATTGCCAGACTACGTTAGCCAATTATGAAACACAGATAAAAAAAATTAAAAAAGTATACAACTTTGGCACAAAATGCCGGGTAGGACACATTCTTTTGTAATATATAAATGATATTAATTATTAATTTAAATATTAATAATATTATTAAATATTCATTGAAATTCTCGACATAATCTATGAGCTCGATAGAACTCAGTAGCTGACCAATCCACATTGGTCAATCGGGTTCGGTGGGTCATATAGCACATTCTATTTTATTAGTAAAGATATTATAAGCCTGATAAATTAATATTTCCGTGTATCATATGGATGATGACGAGGTAAAGTAAACTTAAATTCCATTTAGTCCGTCAGATTAACATAACGGACACTTATTTTTGATAAAGAGCGTCACTGTTTGCGAAAGCTGTCTCGTGACGTCACTTCAAAGTAAAAATTGTACCAAGACGTGACGACGTGCAACATTTGAAATCAATATATCTCTGTAATTTGTGAATTATGTAAAATAAATACGTGTCCAATTATTTTTCATGGTTTACCTGACGGATGAAGAAAAAAAAGGTAGTTATCATCGTCAAAGGCATTCGATATGTTTCCCGCAATCTGTATAATCCGTCATTCTATACAATACCTTTACTTTTTGCCTGGGAAATGCCTTACGCTTCCTTCAACCACCGGGGGAGCGAGAACTTCTTATGTATGTGCAACCCCTCCTTGCTCATTACAGCCAGCCTTTGGACCGGGTGAAATGAGCAGGGCCCTACCTAACGCCCTGAACAGGGCCACTAAAAACCTGCACCGGTCACCCGGCGTACATTCTGAGGAACGCAGTCCCCCCAATGCACGCCGGGAGTGCGGGTGTGGTCGCGGCAATAGTTGCCGACTATTCTATGCAATATCTAGGTAGTGTATATGTCGCCGTCATCTGGTTGAATCTGCTATTTAATTGAATGACTAGCACGAATAAAAGCACGAAGCAACATAAAAAAACCTACATTTACCTATTTATTTATTTATCTATCCATCTATCAGGTGGCTGGCGCTTCGCCGGCCCCTGCCGCGGCACACTCGCTTTGCTCACTCGACTCGCGCTAAACTCAGGTCACAACACTAATCTGACCTATCCCACTTATCACGAATCTGTCGTTAATAATATGGTATTTTTCTTTTACTTACATAATAACAAAGTCGGATATACCCCGTTCAACGACTATGCTAAATGACGAACTAAATATTGAACAACTTAACGAGTTGTCCTTATATCATTCAATTAATTGCGTCATTCAATGAACACGCTAGTCATTCAATCAAATAGCAGATTCAACCAGATGACTGCGATATATAGAATGCCTAAAACATCAAGGCAGTGTGTCTAAAACAAGAAAGCGAATCGACTTTTCCTTGTTTTATTTATCTTTAATTATTTATCTATTATCTATCAGATAGCTGGCGCAGCACGCTCGCTTTGCTCGCTCGGCTCGCGGTAAGTTAAGGTCACAACACTAACTTAACCTAACCCACTGCGATCTGGTTAAACATTCATTGGTCTGTGTGTCAATCGAGGAGATTTTTAAAATTCGTCCATAATTTTATATCCAACTGGGTAGGCCAGGTTAGGTTTGGCTACTTAGATTAAAACAAAAAGAGAAGATACAGGACACGCGGCTCAATAAATTTCCGCTTAAATTGTGGTGCATGACCACAATTCGCTTTAGTTACAATTGCGCATTCAAACACATTGGATGTGCACTCAATATAACAATATTGCGTATATTCTGTGTCATAAAGATAAAACAATAATTTCGATGCTTTTATAAAGAACACAAATAGTTCAGAATCAAATAACAAATACCTCGGCAACACTTTTCATTCGAATAAAAACTGTAAAAAAAAATTCATACGTCATGGTTTGCCATGAATGTTATTTACGTAATTGCCATTTTGTTATTAAGAAAGGGACAACAATACAGGTCAGCCATATGGACTCGGACGCAGACTCGCCGTTTCGTTCACGCTGCGTTGAAGCGTACAATTTTGTATAGTATAGTACAATAATTTTGTATTGTATAGTTATTTTGTATAGTTCTGTCTCGCTCGCTCGATTTAATGTTTATTTATAGACTTGTGCGTGTGTGAGAGTTGCATAAGTAGTTAAGTCGGAGTATATTTTATTTGATGCTAGTATGAGCGTACCGTATCTTTCCCTTTTGTTTTAATCTAAGTTTGAATAGGATAAATACATGCCAAATCCGTTTATTTTACATATTGCCAGTGGGACAACAGGTCTTTTATACAATTCTTATGAATTGTATACATTATCTAGGCAAAGTATAAAATGCAATATTATATTTCAAACATTGCCTGTATAGAATACCATTATGCAGATCGCCGGTGACAGATACATTTACAATGCCAATATATGTAAGTCTCGA